CACCTTTGTTGGAGCCCATGAAACGCATGGCTACGACGCAGCGCCTTTTGTGGTTCAAGAGAAAAAGCGTGACCGCTTAGAGTCTCACTGTTTAACTGATCCACGGTGTAGAACAGCCGCGCAGTCACATCTTTCATGTCTCGATTGAACTCAGGAAATGCTCGCAATTTGATCATAAGGTCCTTTTCACCTCCTTGAGTAGTAACAATGTGTCTGCGATCAATTTTCTTTTGCGATTCAATCTCCATCTCGGTTCCTCGGCTGGAGACGCCGGGATCCGCAACAATGGGCGGGACGACGGGCGGGGCTTCATGAGACGATGCGGGAATGTCCGATAATGCTTTCGATGGGTCGGCCCTCGACTTGTTGGACAATCGAAATCATCCGGTTTGCATCGCCACCGAGGGCGCCGCCTGGAATCGTTTCGCAGTTTCCTTGGCCTTCTCCAGTGCTTGGCCAGTCAATGGCTTCATGTTGAAGTCCTGCCGCGCCACAATTGCGATTCACGAGTGTCAGCCCGTTGGTGCAAAAGTTCTCGTCAGTGACAACATCTGATGTGCCATCCAAGAAGAATCGCGCCGCCTTGCGATAACCCGTCAATCGACTCTCATCAATGGGCAGCTCACCGCGAAGGTTGCGAAAGCCCATCAATTGTTTGCGTTTCTGCACATGATGGCGAATGAGAATACTCGAATCCTCGTCGACAACCCAATAATCAATATTCAAATCGGCTCGTTTCGGTTTAGACTCGACTCTGACCTTACCTTTTTTCGCTGCCGCAATCAAAGAATGTATCTGAGGAATGTGATCATACGCAATGTCAGTGGTGTCAGTGACACTGCGAAGTTCGATGTCACAATCGTCAAGATCGAGTTCACTCACGATTGCAGAAACTTGCAAGTCTGTGTAGGGACAATCAGACTCTTGATAAGGTGCAACTTTCGGAGTCATAAAGACCAATGTGCCTGGTCGAATGATCGGTACTGTTTTGCGATCTCGAGTAAGCAATGCCATAAAGTTGCGGCTCATGATCGTCCAAAAATCCTGCAACAGAAGTCTAGCAACACTTACAAGAGGACATGGGATGCTTTGACAAACGTAGAAATGCACACACAACGAATGATTGCCGCAATCAAGTTCAATGATGCGCTTTCCAATGATGCCCAGTGTCTTACCTGAAATGCTTCTCAAGATGGGACCATCTTCGACAATCGGAAGGAGAGGATAATCATCGGCTAACCATGGCGGACAGCAATTTGCAGATGCACCGCTGTCAAACAGAATCCAAGTGCATTCAATGGCTCCTGACTTACTGTGGAATGCTGCCAATCTATCCTGTTGCTTATGTGGAACAACAACATCACTGGGATCAATGTCGCCTTCAATCCTCGACAATGGAGTGCAAAAGCGGTGCGTCACTACTGATACGAGCACTCAATGGTGGTACGCTGGAAGACAGTGTGCCAAGTAGCATGAGGGCTCCAACGAAAAGTTTGCTTGCAATGCTGGGGCGCGCGGTTCGCGCAATGCCTGAACCTCTCGAGTTACTCAAGCTGCGGCTTGAAGCAATGAGACTTTCATTAGCAATCTGATCAGGTGGCGCCAATCCAGGAGGACCAGCAATGACGCTGCAGTCTGCGGTTGCGCCTATGGCACTGGGGGCGCAGCCTTAGCCACGGAAGATACCTAAGGTACAATCGCCTGAGGCGGTGGTGGCAGTGCTAACCGAGAGTCAGCAGACCAATGCCAAGACGAATCATCCTGCCATGACCAATCCATAGACCAATCATAGCCATCATCAGACCACCAATCACCAGACCAATCATCCTCAGACCATGACATGTCATCAAACAATGCGCCTTGGTACTCTTGCCAATCTATGCTCTCTCCATTCTCTGTCTCGTGATCATGTCCGTTCCAATCTGCGTTCCAATCTTCGTTCCATTCATTTCCTTCTTCAGTCTGCCAAAGGGCTCCTTAGACTCCTTAGGTCCTTGCGTGTACGCTCTCGGACAAATACTGGCCCAATGGTCCTGGGATCCACAAATGAAGCATCCTCCTTTGTTTCCATGTCCGTTACTCTTTCCTTTTCCTTTCAATCATTTTCCTTCTCCTTTACCTTTCATTCCTTTTCCTTTGCCTTTCGGGAATCCCATACCTTTGAATTCTTTGCCTTTGCTTCCTTTGAATCCTTTTCCTTTGAATCCCTTACCTTTCCATTTTCCTTTTCCTTTCATTCCTTTGCCTTTACCTTTTCCTTTCCACAATGCTCCAACATCCATGGGAGCGGGACCTCCATGGTCGCTTGAGTTCAATTTTCCACTCACCAAATGTTTGCTTTGATAATACTCCTTCACGATAACAAGCACCTGGTCAAATGTCTTCAGAGAAATTGCTTGCAATCTCAAGTGCTGTTGCAACTGACCCCTGGTTTTGTTCATCATCAATGCGACGGGAATATCATCACTCAATGTATTTCCTGTTGCTCTCTCATGCTTGTTCTTCAAGACAATGAACTCTGCCAAATCTGCTTCGAAGTGTGCATCACGGAATTGATGTTCAAGCAATTTGTTCAGGAGGCTCACTCCCTTTTCTCGACTTGGCAATGCAAAGCGATCATGCAATTGTCTCCATGTCTCGAATCCGTTGCCTGGCTCATTCAATCGGACAATAAGCCTGGCTGCATGCATCGTCAGTCAAGTTCGCGAGAAGATGATGCTATTGCTTCGCAAATCTAACCAAATCTTGTCCGGGGCACGTGTTGTTCTCTTCAAGTTGCGTAGCAGCATCATCAATGGAAATGCTAGATCCTTGGATCCTATCCATCAATTCTTGAGCTACCGGTTTGTACAATGCCACGTAAGCCTTCGACTGCCAAGACCAATCTTCCCACTTGTCATGCTCTCCTTTGAATACAGGAGGCGGGAACAATTTGATCTCGCCTCCTGATCCGCGGGACTCTGTTAAGGTTGCCATCTCTGCCCAGATCTCGGAAAATCAACGATCCTCAGAATTCAGCTGGAGCAATGGAGTACCCTGGGTTTTGCCGCAGGCTTCCGCTACCATACAAAATTCAAGACTCGTTATCAAGCTCTTCCGGAACACACGATGCAATCAACAAGCAAATGATCAGTCATAGAATGCAATCAGCTTCAGAAGTCAATCACTCGGTCCGGAGTGTTTTCAAAGCGTCTTGAGCCAATGTGTGCAGTGGTTAATATGCCACAGTGATACAACAGTATCTGTAACGAGCAATTCATTCCAACAGTGGGTGTGGGTGTGCGTGGGGGTGTGTAGGTGTGGGGGTGGGGCTAGGGGTGGGGGTGGGTGGGTGTGTGGGCGCGTGGGTGCGTAGCCCCTTCACTTCAGTTCACCGGACCCTTCTTGTCCAGGTCCGGACAAGACACGTACAGTGCGGCATGTGCAGCTGGTAATTCTAAAGTGATCGGTGCACGCATCGCTACCTCCGCCACCGGACGACTTACTTTTACTCTTCCCTATTCTGCCTTTGCACAGGAAGGCATGTGCACTGACGTGAGGTCCAATGCTTTAGGGTAAAGTAACTGCTAATGCATTCTGGAAGACGCGCAATGACCGGATGTTCTAGCTCTAGCTGAAGCCGTACTTGCGCAAGCAACATTATTTCACCACACGTCTGTTGACACCGCAGCATCAGCAACACCACCTGCGCGACAGTGCCGGTGGGTCCAATTCCCAACAACACATCCAAGGCCACTCGGCTGGCACTTTCGCAGCCGCTTTGCCACAGCTGAAGGGAGCACTCGTTTTGCAAGGGACCACCTTGACGCAACATACCACCTTGCCTACTTAGCCGAGTGTGTGCACTTCTCTCGTACATGAAATAAGGGGTTCAAAACCCTCTTGTCTGCTCAAGAGTATTCATTCAGAGATTTTTCTGCAAGGGGCGGCAGCACCATTGCAAGTCTCCTGTCAACGAAGACACTTGCAATTGGTGGTGAAGCGTTCCGGGACGCGGGAACGTGTGCCTGCAGTGGCATACATTGGCTCCATGTACATTGCCACAGAACAACATTTGACAGTAATGTAACAACACATCCGTGAGTGCCGAACACTTGCTCAGTGCGTGTGTGGGTGTGTTCGTGTGTTCGTGTGCTCGTTCGTGTGTGTGTGTTCGTGTGTTCGTGTGCACTCCTCTCGTTCATGAGATAAGCCTCAAGTAATGGGTTCACCACCCATTGGCTGGATTGCCATGACAGTTTTGCCAGGTCCATGACATGCAATTTTTGGGCAGGGGGCGCAAGGGACATTGCAAATCGTGCGCCAAGCAAAACGCTTGCAATGCTGCGTGATGGGAGTAGGGACGCCAACCCCTGCACCTGCAGTTTGTAACGACGTGATCGTATAGACTGTACATGGTGACATCCTGTGATATAATCGCTGTGCACAGTTTGCGGCAGCCTGCAACGCAGGTCCCTGACGGTGTGCATTTGCTACATGTACGGTTGCTGCAATCTGTTTCATGCATGATGGCTCCAAACGCCTGACCTGACACACAGCAGACATAGTCTTCATCTAGCGTAACATTCCTTTGAGGGAATCCATCCGGGAGTGCAGACAACACTTCTTCAGTGTGTGTGTGTGTGTGTGTGTGTGTGTGGGTGTGTGGGTGTGTGGGGGTGTGGGGGTGTGGGGGTGTGGGGGTGTGGGGGTGTGGGGGTG